GTGGAGTGTCCAGAAAAGCGCTATATAAGTGGAAGCAATTATTAATTATTATTACTAAACATATATTATTTGTGGTAAGAGAACCAGAGATATGAAAAGATCTGCTGTACTATGAAGTAAATTTTCCTTGGAGAAGTCATTATCTATATTTAATATATTGGTAGATCAATCTCCTCCATTTATCTTGTATAACTGTGCAGATTGTAGCCTACCAAAATGCTTCTTAAGAAAATAAATATGTTTATAAATTCTTATATAAATTGCACACCATTACTAGGACCATAGATGTGTGAAACTGAGAATTGCTACAGCAGGATATCTAGACTATGGAGACTCATCCCTGTCCAGTTCCAGGTACTGTGCTGCTGTACATATTTATCATGGAGTGGAGAGTGAAGGGTTACAGTTAGGACTGGCTGTCATTTCCAGTTAAGCAGAGTGAGTTGGCCAAAAGCACTGGATGTATTAATGCCATGTGATCTTGCCAGGCATCATGCCAAGACCAGACCATGTCATTTACCAGAAGTCTTACTGAGGCAAAAAACAAAAGGAAGAAAAAACTTGCAAGAGCTCTCCTCCCTCTCTAAAGCAGACTCTGAAAAGGGAAGTGAAAGCTCTTCCCAGCTTAAACTAATTCTTTTTAATTACACCTTTATTAGAGGGAAATACCATGACACATGCTTACAAATACATAAAAGTATCATTTTTCACAATGTCAGTACTTTGAAACCAGTCTGTTCCAACTTGATATTGCCTCCCTCACATTAAATGGGAATTAGAGACTCTGTTATTAACAATTAGCTGTTTTCCTCACATTTATTGTAATATGTCAACACAATACATTTCTTCAAAAGAATATATCCAATATGGAGATCACGGGACTGGAGTTCAGTGATGGCAACACAAAACCAGAACACTAAGTGCCTGCCACTCCTTTTTGTTTTGTTAGCCCTCTTTTTATTTTTGTGATGCCAACAGAGATGGCAGAAACAGGGAAAAGGTGTCTGAAATCTTATCTTCAGCTTAGATGCAAAAAGAATCCAATCCCCCTTAATTGGGTAAGATAGCTGATCTGCTGGAGAACTCAATGAAGCAGCAGGCATAGCTTCTAAGAACTGAGATGGTGGTAAACTAAAAGACTGCATCAGCTGGGGTGGACAAATGTTCAAATGTCATTGAACAACTAATTTCAATTAGAGGACCGAATCTTAGGTGAACACATAGAACAAAAAACGTGCTGAATACTCACACAGCCAAGCTGAAGTGTCTGGAAAGTTAGGTTACCAAGCTGGAGTACTGCTCATTCCACAACAACATTCGTAAAGTGGGTTTGCCCAGGGGATATGAGTCCGATGAGTCCTGAAAAATATAAAAACTACTGTACATAGATTTCCAATTTGGGACAAAGGAACTGAAATGTGGAGAGGACACACAGAACTTATGGAGACCACTCTTCCAGAGGCCACCACAAACCCAAAATATTTATTTTCAACCTCTGTACTACTGTGATATACTGTACAGCTACAGTACTTCTCAAGGAAAACAGGTAATCTAACTCGTTTCATTCAGATGAGGGATTTACACTGCTCTTTTACCTGTACTATAGTCAAGCAACTGTCCAGAAGAGACTGGCTTTTGTAGGATTAAAGAAATCATTGAGGAAGGCTAGACTGCAGTCTTTTCTATTGTACCTCCATGGATCTCAATCATGCACACTGGTTCGCTGGCAGAGAGCATTTCTTTATTTTGGTTTAGAGTTCATTGTTTAGGCCTCTTCACATCAGATCACACCACAACATTTTATTTTCAAGGATACTAACATTTTTGAACACTATTTTATCATGACTGGATGTAAGCATTTATATTGTTTATACAAATGTGACACCACCTGACCCCTTTATATTTATTGTGCTACAATTTAATCACATGTTTTCTACAGGGCAACAATTTATTTTCTAGTGGCTTGAAAAAATGAGGTTTGAGAGACAAGATGAGGGAAGAGGGTTTTTTTTTTCTAGAAGAGGGACTTCTAAATATTGTTATTCAGGATGGCAGACAGTGAAGAGACAAATGTCTAGTTTATAGTCTCTACAGCAGATATATAGAATACATATTTTTTCGTAGCTAGACAAACTGTAGAACAGAATTTACTGTACTTTTGTCAGCCTATTATTTTCTGGCACACAAATGAAATACAACTCATGTTCCTAGTAGATCACCATGACAATTTCAGCAGGTTTTTACTCACTTCAAATATACAATAGGGTCTCAACATTAGTAAATTCACTTTTTCATGGTTTGGTTTGGCTAACACGGTATTGTCAAACTAGGATCATCAGACAAATCTTGTTAGTGAAGGAGCACCTTCGTTCCCCCCGCCCAAGTACCCCCTACAGGAATAGAGGGGCACCACCTGCATCTCAATGTGCTCTCGATTTTATATTGTAACGAATGCTCCTGTTTGCGTCAGCAGCGCGGACAATAACAGGCTGAAGAGACAACTTTACAGACTCTTTGGCAGTTGTATAGCCCTTTTCATTAACAGTGGGGGCACGCTTATCACAGAGGAAAAGAGAGAAAGTGCAGGCATCCACTGGATGCAGAGGAGGGATTCATGCTGTTTAATTTTGCTGACTACTGTAAGTTTTTTATTACTGTTGTTATTTATGATTACCATTGTTTGTTTTAGTTGATCAGTGTTACTTTAATTAATGTAAAGTCAATACATCAGAACTTTAATTATTCTATAAGGGAGGGTTACTTTTGTTTTTTAGCCATACACTGCAGAACCCTATGTGACGGTATAGGGGATGACTTGGTTAATGGGAATTTGGCAATTTGCAACAGCTCTCTGCACAATCCCTAGTGAAAGTAAAGTTTCTACTGTAATATAGTTAAGATGATGTACCGGTAGTGGACAAAAAATAGAAACAAATGGGTAAATGAGAGGCACCAGGTATAATGAAAGCAAGCACTTCCATACAGATGTGGCTCATGAATTAATTAAGCAAATAACTTTCCAGAATGCTTAGTGTCAATGCTGGACTGGCTTAGCTACATACAGTATCCAACCAGTTTGTAACAGCACAGTAATCCATTGTTTTTGTTATACAAGATGTAATAATTCCTGTTTTTATTTTTCATTTAACAAGCTGACATTTACAAGCTGCACTCTCATAAAACATTGGAGAGATTCTTCACATCTTGCATCTTCTGGGACAAGGACTTTTTTATTATATTGTAACATTTTTTATAATAAAGGCATGTTTGCATTAAGCACATATACTACAGGACAGTGTGGGTGTTTAAGGGCCCATTTTTTAGTTCTGGAACCAATCAGAGATTATGCCATGGGAAGTTATGGGAATTTCATTTTAACCTAATGAGCACTTTTTGAAGAGTGAAGCTCATACTGTATAATGCAGGATTACTGTATATGGGCTCTTGCACCATGTTGCTTTAAACTTGACACTATGACGTATTAATTCCTATTCATTATTACACAAATTCACAGCAAAATTACAAAGAACAAAAAACAAAAATTAAGAAGTAAATAGGTAACTAATCTGGACAAATAATGTCAGGACTGACTAAGTATTACTTAGTATTTATCCTTTGCTGTGGCAAACAAAAGTCATTTAGGTGCACAGAATTACCTCAGCAAGGCACACAATAAGTTGAGTGGCCTCTGTTTATGCGGATTAATAGTTCACATGATTTCAGTATAAATATACTGGAAGGTCCCTCGGTTTTTCAAACAAAGATTCAACCATGAGGACCAGAGAGCTTTCAAAACAATTCAGGAATAAAGATGTATGATGTGAAAGAGCAGAATAAGGGTATCAAATATTTTAATATCACTCTGAGCATGATAATGTTAATGATTAAGAAGCAGAAGGCAGGACACACTACTTAAATCAGGCTATCCTTCCAAACTGAGATGCCAGGTAAGAAGGAAACTGAGTAGAAATGCCATGACAAATGGTGACTCTGAAAGACATACAGAGTTCAGTGTGAAATGTCAACAGGTCGCTCAATAAGGAGGCCTGGACAGGACTGAAAAAAACCCATCTCAAAACCCACAATGGATTTGCAACAAGGCATAGTACCTAAGTGATACTGCAAACATGTGGCAAAGTGTTTTGCTGTCAGACAAATCAAAATGGGAATTTTGTGATCTAAACAGAAAGCATTACATCTGACACAAATTTATTCAGTCAACACCATCATCAATCATGGTGCGGGCGGCGTTACGTTATAGTTCTGCTTCCCTTCAACTTCAACGCTTGTCAAGACTGATGGGATATAGTAGGAGCAAAGTACAGGCAAAGCTTGTGAATTTTTCTTTTACTTCAGATCTAGAAGAAAAATTCACCTTTCAGCAGGAAAATGAGCCAAAGTACAAGACTAAAGCTACACAGAGGTGTCTTCAGAACAAGAACTTGAATGGCCTTGAGCGGCCCAAGGTCTTGACTATGGTGAAAGACGTAAAAAACTGCAGCCCATAAGCAATCCAAAAGCAACTTGAGAACTTGAGCAAACTTAATTAACCAACGATGGTTAGAAATTGCAGTGTGTCCATGTACACGATTAGTAGAAACTTACCGAGTTCACAGGTCTATATACCTATACAAAACAATATACTTATTTTTGTCCTTTTTAGTTTTTGCTGGCATTGGCTGTAACCTAGCTAACCCTTAGAAGTCTTCAGTTTGAGCACTCAGTCTTTCAATAAGATATTTAATATAATAAATGATATGCCTCATTTGGCAATTTCACCATAAGAACAGTCTGAATACTTCTGCAAGGCCCTGGAATGACAGCCAGCATGGCTTGAGGAGGAGTCCTCAGTGACTGATATAGAGGATATTGTTGGAGTGAGTTTGGCTGGTGCTTCAGTGACCAAAACAGACACCATTGCTCATGAGCCATCAGCAAGTTGAGCTAAGCTGTTGTCTGCATGTAACTCAGGACATCACCAACAAAGGACAACATTGGTGGAGAGGCATACTCCAGGATCACGATGCCATGCATTTGCCAGGCAAGGCAAAACAGGTGAGCAATTGACTGGAATTGGCTCCAACTTTCAACCTGGGGCACAAGCAGCCAGTTTAATTAAAAACAGTGTACCACAAAGTCCCAGAACTAGAGACCATAATAGGGCTGCAGTGCTCTACCCACTTATCACACCTGGCAATGCATGTGCATGTTTGCTAGTCTAGTGATGCAAAGAGCACAAGCACTGAACTACTGAGCAGTGGTGAAATGTGAAATGGTCTGATGAATTATCCTTCACCATGTTCTCAACAAATGGACAAGCGCACATTAAAGAACTCACAAAGTGCCTGGTTCAGACAGTGAAGGGTCCTGAAAGTTTAAGAAAATGCAAACCAGGCATTTCTCTGGCGTGGTTTGGGTACACTCATTTTCTTAAAAGGCTAGCTCAATGTCAATTTCTACTTCATGGCACTAAGTATTCTCTCCCAGTCAACATAGAGGGAACAATGAATGGAACAAAAGATAGGAAAAACCTTGAGAATAACCTAGAAATGTATACATCATTTGTTATTCAAGAACTGGAATCGAAATTAGCAATGCATGAGCAAACAAAACATCGATATGGGCCTGTCTGGGACTTTTGTGAAAAGGTTAATTCTGATTTCTCTCTTTTATTTGAAATTATATTGCTACAATGATAGTGGCAAATGCAGTTTCCGAACGTCCTTCAATTGCCCTGTCTCTCAGAGAGCACATCATCCGTTCTGTTTACTCCCCTTTCTCTGGGTAAACTAAGCTTTGCAGAGCAAGACGCTCAATCAGTAGAGGTGTTCCCAGAAATGCAGGCTGACCACTATACTCCTGGGTTCTGTCACGATTGTAGTCCCTCCTCCTTAAGGGCGCTCCGGCTCTTTTCACTTTGGACCTAATTTTGTGCACCTGCCCCTTGTTCCAGCCTCTTTCCCGTCCCCCTTAAAAGCCAGACACTCGGTCAGTCCCGCGCTCTGCATTTGATTTCCATATCGTGAGAGCCCGGGACCTGGATGCGCCTGGCTCCGTTATGTTTTTAAGTTTCTATGCCTGTTCCTGTTCCCCTTGCCGGTTCCGACACTGTTCCTGTTTTTAACCTCCTGACTTGGATGGATAAACTGGCCATGGACTTTTGCCCGTATTTTGGATTCGCGATGGACTTATTTGGATTGTTTGCCTCGGCCACACCTTCCCCGTACACCAGCGCACCAAGGACACGCCCCCCGTCTTCATTCCCGTCTCCTGCATGACTTTTCCCCCAGTGTTTCCTCACTACTTCAGACTGTGTCGTCCGCATACGGTCCAGAAAGAACTGTTCGTGACAAGTTTGA